GATGAGCTCTACAACTTTTGTTAGAAGCCCAAGAGTGATTTACTTAGTAAGAAAAAAAGTTTTAGAAGAAATCTCTTTACATTTAGCTTAATAGTAAAATTTATTTATAAAATTTGCAGATTCTCTTCAGATAATAAATGAATTGTCTATTAATTTGCTTTAACCCTTCTTTTACTGAAAGTTAAAGAGTATGGACAACGCATGACTGCTAATTAATATTAGAAAGATAATTCTCTTTTAACCAACTAATACTTTTTACTATATTCGCCTCATTATCTGTTACAATAGTATATACTTTATTTACTAATTCCCACTTATTTATAATACTAAATAATTTCTCACTAATATTTTAATCTGTATGCAGATACAGCATGTGATGACTTGCAAGCAATGCTTCCTGAAGCTTAAAGTCAGAAGTTAGCCATATTACAGTAATACCAAGGTAACTGTGATTACTCTTAGCAGTCTATAAGTCTGTTGTTAAATTAACGGTATTAATATTTAACAACAATTCTTTAAGTTGGTTTGTTCCCTATACGTAAACCTCAGAAATATATTTTTTAATAGTTTTTGTACTCGGTATTTGATATTGAGGTTTAAAACCATATAGAAGTTTATGAAATACTGAATTTTTTAATATATTTAATGGCTGAACATCATACATGATGAACTCTACAACAAGTTTTATTAATTCTTGTTGTGCAGGTGATAGAGAAGGTAGGTCAAGATCCGTTGATTCAATGGATCTATTAATTATTGGCTGTAAAAAATATACTGTATATTAATTTAAAAATTTTAATGATTTTATTTAATAAAAATCAATGTTTACTTGTTTATTATCATCGAGGTATCTTTTATAATTCTTTGAAGTTATATTATATCTTTCATGTAAATATTTTACTAAGTTTCCTGTACTATTTTCTGATTTGTTATAGGGATACAGTTGTGCTTGAATTCTATCTAATTCATCTAATTCCTGAGTACAAAGTCTACAATATGCAATTGTGTTATTAGTTTTATTATCTTGATAAAAAAAGTGTATAAAACTGGCATTTGCCCTTGGGGTTGATAAGTGACTAGAAGCGACAGACAAAGTTGATTGTGCTGTTGTTGTAGTG